GGTTACTGCACTCGCCAATGAAATGGCGCCGCTAGAAGCTTTCTAATACGTCCGTCTCGATTCTATAAGTACAACGACGTCCGTTTTCTCCTCATTTCTAAGTTTGCCGTTTAGTTGACGAACGACTGACAAGTGAATATGTCTGGACGCGGTAAAGGAGGTAAAGGTCTCGGAAAGGGAGGCGCTAAACGTCATCGTAAAGTTCTCCGCGATAACATCCAAGGTATCACCAAACCCGCCATTCGTCGTTTGGCTCGTCGTGGTGGTGTAAAACGTATCTCTGGTTTGATCTACGAAGAAACTAGAGGTGTATTGAAGGTGTTCTTGGAGAACGTCATCCGTGATGCCGTAACCTACACCGAACATGCTAAAAGGAAGACCGTTACTGCTATGGACGTTGTTTATGCTCTGAAACGTCAAGGAAGAACCCTCTACGGTTTTGGTGGTTAAAAAATGTCAACCGGATACAAAAGGCCCTTTTCAGGGCCAAGACATTCTGATAAAGGGTGGCCAAATGTGTTCTTTCAGACAATCTTTAAACATTACAAAAGTAAACTTTATAAAAATTGTTTTAATAAATTAAAAATTAAGGTATTGCTGAAATTCAATTATGTAATTATAAAGAACTGTTAAACTTTTGAAGTAATTATGTATCCATACACTATTTTAATATAAAATAAAATTGAATAAAACATTAATGGTTTTGTAAAGTAGAAATAGGCAAACCAAATAAACGAATTTCAGTTCGTGAAAGCCATTACACGTTCAATTGAGTTAAAATTCATTGACCTCGCATTATCGATTTTCTTCCCGCTTACAACAGAATTTTCAATCGAATAACGTACAGTACTACAGAAACTGGCAAAATGACCTTATGTAACTTTAAATGCTGAAAAGTAATTTCTATCGTCTGCTCTTGATTGGTCCATTTGAAAATGAGTCTCCATAGATAAACCTACCGCTACTATCAATTTTAACAAATATTCTTAAGACTAGTTTTTTTTAAAACATTTTATTTTATACATTTTACATATATAGTAGACATTATTTAAAAGAAAATATAGTTGTGAATAACTTACTCAAACCAAATAGATTTGATGTATTAAATTCAAGTAGCCTACATAGTCTAATTTTACATGATAGTTTTTCATTTCTTGAAAGAAAAAAAAATTCGCTAAATTATCACGTTAAACCAGCTTTATTTGAGTTTATTTTAATTCTGCTTTGATTTGGTAATTACTGTTAGTTAAGATAATTAAATAAATTTTATACCAATTTTAAATGTTTTATAATAAATCTATATTCATATTCATAACTGCTTCAAAATTTTATTTTCTTGAATTTTAACAAATTGCGTATCNTAAATGTTATTCAATGTAAGTAATATAGAGAGATTCACATTAAATCTATAATTTATGTAATTTTATAAAGTTTTTATTTCTACACTTTAATATACAAAGTTTTAGACTTGAATGTATTTTGCACAAAAATACAAATCCGAAATTGTAATGCAGTATAATTTTAAATCCAAAATTTACACCATGATTTAACATTAAAATTTTAAACTGTAACGGTTACTTGAAGCAAACAAAGACACACACATAACAGTATAATATGCTATATTCATTTTTATCTGAAAAATATAGGCAACTTACTGCTTTTCTTATGTTTAGATATTTCGCATGATGATTGCTATTCTTACTAATTCTAATTTAATCTAAAGCGATTAAAATGAATATATAATATACAAATTGTTATATATAATTTTCAAACTAACAAAATATTGAAACTAATAAATATCGCTCTTCCCTATTTTCATTGCATAGCAGCAACTTTTACCCCCGTATTCACCAACGCGAGTTAAACAGAGAGTTGACGAACTCGAGGTTAGATGTAACTCGAAGTCAGATTACGAGTTACTCTTCTTTCGTATTCAGATAAAAATTTAACTCTAGAGTTTCGCTACCCTAGAGTTAATATTTTAAAACAATCCTGCGTTCGAGATTAAACAAGTCTTCTTTCGTAAGGAGAGTTCTTATTGGTTGAAAGCAAACACGTGTATGAACCAGGGAGGAGACGAATAGAATAGAATAGAAACACGTGTAGAAAATGGCGGAAAGTGAAATGGAAAGCAGTGCACGCCGTAATTTTTCTAATTTTGAGAAGGAAATTCTACTTGAATTAGTCGAAAAATATAACTCGATCATTGAAAACAAGAAAACAAATGCGATTTCTTCCAAACAGAAGAGAGGCACATGGGAAGAACTAACAAAGGAATTCAATGGTATCCCGGGTGTCACCCTTAGAAAAACCAAACAGTTATTGGACTGTTATAAGAATTTAAAAAAGAAAGCCGTGAAAGAACAGGCACAAAAAAAGCCGAATTATTTAAAACAGGAGGAGGAAACCAATTCGTTCTAATAGGTTTCTTACGCTCTCTTTTGGCAAACGATATCGACATAGAAAGTCGTAATCGTCCAATTGTTCGAGGTCATTTCTTCTTGGAGAAATAATCCGCCGACTTCTTCGTTCCATACGATCTATATAATCTAAATATTTCAGATTTTCTAGCATCTCGGCTTCGTCTTCGTCGAATGTCGCCATTTTTCTCTGAAATAGACCGCTTTGCGCAGGCGTCAAACCTAGAGTTATCGTCTACTCGCCGATTTTCTAGAGT